TCCTTGGGGCAGAATGGTAACGTGGATCCTTCTGTAGGTGACCTGAAGCCAGGGCTGAATGGGGTCCCAGTTTTTATGAATCGCACACTGATTGAGAGTAAAAGGATGAGAATCTATTCCAGCTCATTGTATTATGACTAAAATAACTTTTCCCTGTCAAGCAGGGATACCAGGTTTTCCTCTGGTTCTGGCTAGGGGAGCGTGTCCTGCGACACCCATGCGAGTGCTCTCCTGTGGGTGAGCAGCAGAAGGTCACTGCTGCTTTCTACTTGCTGGGGTTGTGCAGGGGGCTGTGCAGGCTCCCATAGTGCACCCAACTGCTACCTCTGTGAGCAGTTGAAGTCTTGCTGTCAGGTCCTTCGCTAATCATAGAATCCTAGAACAGCAGGTTGGGAGTGCCCTCAAAGATCATCTGGCCCAACCTTTCTTGGCAAGAGCGCGGTCTCGACAAGAGGGCCCAGCACCGTGTCCGGCTGAGTCTTAAGTGTCCCGTGTTGTAGGACCCAGCATGTCCCTGGGGGGATTGCCTTTGTTGTGAAAAAGTTTTCTTCTTGTGTCCACTCAGAATCTCCCCAGGAGTAACTTGTACCCATTGCTCCTTGTCTTTTCCATGTGACTTTTTGTAAAAAGGGAGTCTCCATCTTTGTAGCTATGCTTTAAATACTGGAACATGGTGATGAGGTCTCCCCTGACCCTTGTTTTCTCAAGACCTAACAAACCCCGTTCTTTCAACCTTTCCTAATACAGTCACTTCCCCGTCCTTGGTTCATCTTTGTGGCCCTTCTCTGGACACTCTCCAGCCTGTCCACATCTTTTTTTTTTTTTTTTGTATGGTGGGGACCAAAAATGAGCACAATATTCCAGGTGTGGCCTGACCAGTGCTGAGTTGAGTGGGAAAATAACTCTCTCTCTGCTGATGGTGCCCGTGATGAAGCCACCCAGCATCCCACTGGCTTTCTTTGCCACAACAGCAGCTGCCTGTTCACTCCTGCTGAGCTTGTAAAAATGCAAAAGAGCACAACTTTTTACACCTACTGCTGATCTGCTTCTTTATGATTTCGCCTCCTTTACAAAGCTGATCTAGTTCAGATTTCTTCCAAATTCTAACAACCCTAGAATTTACTAGTAATTTTACGGGTTGCCAATACAGGGTTAATACAACCCCTGAAAAAAAGCCTTGTGTTGAGGTGCACACTCCTGTGCTTTGCTTTCTGAGGACACACCTCTCATCAGCTGGAAACTCAGGCAGGGTGGCGTGCACCTGAAGGCTGGACTTCACCCATCTGCAGGAGGAAGGATGGTGCTGGATGGATGCTGCAGCACTGCTGCAAGAGCAGGGGCCTGGGCTCAGCAGCTGGCCTTGGGCTGCATGCCCACACAAAAAATGTCCATGGAGGTGCTGAGCCCGTGTGAATGAAGGTCCTGCCCTTATGCAGTTTGTGGGCCTGATACCTACCTACAAAGTCTGAAGTCAAGAGTGGATCAGTTAGGTAGAAATCTTTTATTCCTTGATTTTAGGTTCATTGACAGGGTGTTTTTTCTTTCCCTGCTGAAATCAAAATAAGCCTGGCAAAATCTGCCTCTATTCTCTGTACGAGAGCTGAGGACTCTTTTAAGCAAAATAACAAACTGTATGAGCTTTTGTACCAGCTAAATAGGGCAGCTGTTGGAGTGGTGTTCCAGCAACACCCTTTATTTCTTCTCAGAAAGGAGCTCCTGTGTTTTGCAAAGCTGTCCTCTTATCTGTACTCATCTGCACCTGATGCACCTAATAAAAATGCAGCAGATTGCAAATTTGCATACATTATTTTGTAATTGCATACAGTTGAGTGTAAACCACTAAAAACGTTTGTGTTCAGGCGATGTGTGAAGAATGCAATGATGGACACCTTGGATTTTCTCAGATAAGGAGGTGGATTTCATTGCAGCGTGGGGGTGGGAACCTGGGCCTGAGGGAGGATTAGATGTTTTTGCTGGTCAAAGAAAGAGAGGCTAGGATTCCCCCCCTCTGCCCGTGGCGATGCGCTTTTGTTCTATTTTTATACTCTTTTTTTTCTTTTTTTTTTTTTTTCTGTGTGCTTTTACCTAAGATGCACTCCATTCTCCTTGAGACTCTAGATAAAGGGATTGGATTTTCATCATCTTGGTCATGAATTGTGGTGGTAACATCTCCCAGGCAGCTGCAGGAGGGAGTGGAAGTGTATGCACATGTGTGTTAGCAAGCCATTTTGCATATTGCTAAAACCCTACCTCCCCATGTTTCCTTTGCAATGTCCTGTGGTCTGGTGAGTGGCCAGGAGCATGTCTTAAAACTGCGATGAAAACATCTGGTTTTCACATCATGATATTTTGCAGAGGGAAGATGAAACATTTCTGACCATTTTAACTTCATTGTCTTGCATCTTCCATAGTGTTTTGTATTGGTTTGGGTTTTTTAAATGCCTGTCTTTGTGCTGGCCTGACTAGGTTCTTTAGGTTGCACACTTACATGTGTTTTTGGCAGCTTCGTGTGTACCTGGCTCAGTGCCTGTGTTGGGGTGGGAGGTGGCTGGCATCCTGGCAGTACTGTACTAGGTCTGCTTTGGAAGAAAACAGTTACTGCTCCTGGCGTGTGAGTCCTGATTTGCTATAAAAGTTACAGGTACTGCTCGTCCTCATAACTAGTTTGTTAGGACTCTTCATAAGATTTACCATAGGAATTGGTTCCCACTATAGCATTTGCATAGGAATATAATTAACAGTGTTAGCCTAACTCTTGGGTCAAAAACTGCTTGTGTAAAGAAGAATGTTTTCCTCCTCAGATGCAGTGACTGGGTGGATCCCTTGCTTGCATTAGTAACAAAATCAAGATGTCTCTACCTTTTGCTCAGTTATTGCCCCACAGGCAGCAAAGCTGTGACAATGAGCTGGGCTGTTTTTATATTTAATCACCTGTAGATTTGCCAGTTAAATTGCAATTGCTGGAGCTTTATTAATGATAGTGATGTGAAAGCCAGGAACAAGACAGCTTGATTTTTATTTTTGTCCAACTCGAGGCTGAATTTTTGGGAAAAAACCCTTAGCAGAAAGCTGTTATTTTAGTAGTTATTGAGCAATTCAAATCTGGAATTACTAAATGTGATGGTTTGAGACTCCTGCCACTCCTGGGGGAGGAGTTTTGAAATCTGAACCTTGTGTTGTTTTGACCCCCCTGCCACTCCTGGGGGTGGAGTTTTGAAATCTGAACCCGGGAGCGAGCCTGAATGAAAGGGGCAGAGACCTGTTCTGTTCCCACTCCCCTCTTCCTGCCGTCGGGACTGCCTGCTGGGCTGTATAAAAGGGGAGGGGAGGGACACCCCCTCCTCTCTCTGCGGGATCCTGGCCGGGACGCTGCTCTGCTGTCTGCTGCTCCCTGTGCTGCATGCGGCGGCGCCATCTTGGGACCTGGGCCTGATCTCCAGACTCGTTCCCTGCCTCCGTCCACAGCCAAGGATCGTGCATGCAGCTTCAGTCCGCCTCAGTCCAGCGAGATCCAGCTCTGGGGAGCCTCAGCACAGCGTTTGGGTTCTGTATTTTTGGAAATTTACCCCTCCTTGCTTTGTTGTCCCTATAATCCCCTTACCCTGTTAAACCCCTGCCCTTCTTCCTTTCTGTTCCGTTAAACCCCCGCCCTTCTTCCTTTCTGGTCCCTGTTAAATAATGTATTTGATTCTGTTAACTTTCAGTCTGTGCAAGATCTTTATTACCCCTGCCTGCCTTTATCTCTCTATCTGGGAAATCTAAGGGATAAGGGAAGGGGAACACAATTCTGCCCTCTAACCAGGACACTAAAAAGCACTTGAAATACCAGGACATCATCTTTATATTTGCTTTTCAGTTTATAACCAAAAGCCATTCCTGCAACCTAATTAGCAGACTGTCGTTAAGTGCTTTATAATCCAATTAACATCCAGAACAGTAATAAAGCATTTGTGGAAATGGAAGTAATTTGTCTTTAAGTGACTTGCAACACCGTATTTGCAGCAAAGGCTATCAGGTGGCATAGCCTGCTCTTTTCAGCTGTTACACTGATTGCTTGCCTTTGGAGAGAGACCTGCTAAACTAACAAAAATAGATGGCTTTTAATGAAGGCACATTGAACAAACTAAAATTGCTGAGCTGTTGTCTGTGTTGGCATACTGGGCCATCACCTGTCCCGGATGCTTGTTTCTGTGTTGTTTCTAAGACTTCGAGTCTGTTGAACTTAAACTGGGTGATAAAGCCAAGGTGAAGTGTACAACTCCTCTAGGTCTAAGCTCCTTCCTTTGGAGCTTGTGCTTTTCTCTGCTGTAAGGAGGAAGGGAGCAAAAGCATGAATGCTTGAGCAATCAGGAGGTCACAGCTCTGCTTCCATCACCTCTCACTGAAGATTTGAAAATGTCCCTTCCTTTCCTGATTGTTTAGAAAACTGCCCAGGTTAGGAAGTTGACATAATGAACACCTAGGCCAGCATCCCGCTTCTGGAAGCGACTGGTGAGGGGTGCTTAGGGAGATGAGTAATTCTGCCCATGCCTACCCTTGCTGACTGCTCAGGACAAGGGTTTACAGTGACTGGAGTGTGCATTTAGATTACCATACTTTACCCATCCATTCTGGGTACAAAACTGTGAGTCAAAAATGCTGGTGAGTGTGACCCATAACTACTTACTCCTCAACTCTCTGGTTTTTTGAATATTTTTGGTAGAGTACGGTGCTGTGCTCCTGGAATTTATCTGCCCTGCCCAAGGTGTCTTTGATACACAATGCTGTGGTTGCCACAGAAGCGTATTATACAGTAAACACTTTGGGAAGGGCTGTAATTGCAAGAGGACAAGTTAAGCTGAACTAACAGGAAGGTGAAAAAGCCTCTGGCTTGCTAGTTGCAGGACTACTGCCCAGTACAAGAACTTGGGCAACTTTTTGTTGTTTACTTGACAGCACATGCAGTGGTTTTGAATGGCCAATTAAACGTCTGTGTTTTATTTTTTCCCCCCTCTTTGCAGCTCTCCATGAATTCCCCAGTGACATCTTCACAAACGAGGACAGGAGACATGGAGCTGTGGTCCTACACGTCCTTTGTGTAAGTTTGTGACTTTGTGTTTCTTCTATCAGTGTGGACTGGGCTGAGTGTGCTCACCGCAGGCTGCTGCCCACAAGGGCTTCTACTCTCAGTGATGGTTGAGAGTGAGTTTTGGTAACTACGATGAGTGTAACATACTTCAGTTTTACATAAAACCCTTTTAAGAGTCCCAGGGCAACCCGTGAGCTGCTGTCATGTGAACGAACGTCTGTGAGTTCCTCAGACCAGCTGTGCTGAGGCCATCAGGCAGCCATGGACCTCTGCCCCTGAGCACAAGGATGCTGTGGGGTCAGCATGTTAATTGCCTTAGAAAATAAGTGAAATCTTATCCCCAGAAATTTCCCCTCAAAATCCTTGTGGTGCCTCTTACCCCTAATGACATAGTTGTAAGAGAAAGAAATTAGAGTTTCTTTTCTGTTTAAAAAGATTGTCAATTGGATTAATTTTTTTTAAAAAAAGTTTGTGATCTCCAGAACTTGCCTAAGTAGTTAAGTTGCTAAAGTGAATTTTTCTTCCTGAATATATTAAAGAAAAGATCATAACTTCTCATTTATCAGCTCCAGGATGTTCTGGATCCTCTTGGGAATTCTGGAAGATGACAGGTGGGTGAGGGATTTGCCTCAAAGTTCAGAAATGTACCAAGAAGACTTTAATAGATGCTATTTTAAAGACCTTACTGGTATCAGAAATCAGTGCAGTTTAGGACCTGGAGGTTTGTGATCTCTGCCCTAAGCAAGTCAGTGTAAGTGGTGTGTGTGGATAAGGCCAAAATTAAAAATACTTAAGGTAAATTTATTTAAATAACCCTGGTCTCCCAGCCCACTGGATGGTCACTGCGTGTTGAGGACCTTGTGTTCAGCAGCTGCAGTACTGTCACAGGGGGAAGCGCTGTCCCTGCAAAGCCATCCCTTGATTTTGAGTAGGTAGTCAAAGACAATTCTTTTCTTTTTTAATGTCATCTTCACCAAGTCGGTATTTCTTGGGCAAAGAGGCATTCTTAAGCAGCCAGGAAAATGTCTGCTTTTAATGAATGTTTAAAGCATTCAGTAATTTTTAGTCAGCTTAAGTGAGCTGTCACTGTTAGCTGTGTGCAGCGATTCATGCTCCTGGACACTGGGTGATAGGCACCCGTTACCTCCACGAGACGGGGGGGAGATTGCTTTGCTGAGTAATTCGTAAGGTTTTTGCTGATGAGCAGAGGAGGAGGGTTTGGTTTGGGCATCGCTGTGGGTTTCCCTGGAAAAGCCCAATAGGATGGGCACGGTCCTTCTCCCGTGTCCCATTGCTACTCACCCTTTGTGTGCCCAGCCATAGGCTCTGCCCTGGTCCCTGGCTTGTCCCCATAGTTTTGACTGCTCAGCATAGGTTCCCCTTTCCCAGCTGTCTCAGGGTAAGCCCAGAATGTGGTGCCAGGGTGGTGGGCGCTGGTGGTGTGGAGAGTCTGTGTGTGAGTGCTCCTGCTGGAGCAGAGCCCGCGCACTGCGTGCTGAGCAGAGGTGAAGGGGTTGGGTGGAGGAAGGCGTCTGTGCCCGGTAGCCCTCTCCTGCGTCTCCTTTGCCGCTCGCTGTAGCCATGGGAATGGGGTGCACCAGTGGGGCACCTGCCACCCCCCGTGTGAGGTCCGCTCAGAAAACGTAGGTCGCTCTAAGTGGATCCTGTCTTTATCTGTTTCTGCACAGAGTCAAAAAGCAGCTGCATCTCGTTTCCACAGAGCAGAGCCGTCTCCTTAGGGTGATGATTTCCCAGTGCCCTGGACGTGCTTGCTCTAGCGATGCTGCTCGATGCAGACAGCCTGCTGCTGAGCACATCCTGATACCAAGGGCTGCTGCTGCTCCCAGTAAACTTGGACTCTGGGTTTGTTTTGATTTATCTTTGATAAGGGTGTTTTAGGTGGTTTTGTAATGCAGCTGGAATTGAGGCAAGCCCTGTGCTTGGGTACAGTGGTTTCAGTGATGGCCCTTGGCTGTGCCTGCTCGCCTGGGGCAGGAGGTCTGCGGGGGGAGCAGCCAGGAACACTCACCTCTTCCTTTCCTGGATCTCTTGGGAAGAAGACAGGGCTGTGGAAATTGCTGGCCCCTGCAGCATTTAAGCTTTCTGGTGAAAAGCTTCTTGCTTTAGCTCAGTGAAGCAAGTTTTAATCCAAGTATGAAGCAGTCTTCGTATGGGAAACTCAAAGGACTGCCGGACAAACATGAAAAAATACCATTTTTGTCCTGTGAAACGGAATATGTATTTCGAGTAAGATACTTAGTCTCCTTTGATGCAGAGATTGCATTTACTTCTCTGATGCTTGTTTGTTAGAATCATCATTTTAAAATCAATCCTAATGTAATACTTATTCTGGTATTTGTAATCCTTTTATGCAGGTCCATTATATTTTCGTAATTTTTAATGTCATTCTGGGGAGTGTATTTTAAATAGGTTGCCTGCTTAAAGACATCAATGTCTTCACTTCAAACCAAACATGGCTAAATGATGCTGGGGCTGAGACTTTTTTTTTGTGTTCTGCCCATCACATTGTCCTCTGTTGCCATCACACATCATGCTCCAGCTCTGCCCATATCACAGCTACATTGCCCCAACTGCTGCCTTTATCCCAAATGACTGTTGTCAGGTGGAACAGGCCTCAGCAAGTGCATCCCTGCTGCCGCTCTTAGAGAATGAGAAATCCTTTGCTCCTGTGGTGCCTGCAGGGACAAACTGGCAAGTGTTAAAGGAAGAAGCAATGGGACTCTCCGTTGTATTCTTAAGTTAACTTAAGTGGAAGCTGATACCACCTAATCAGCTCCAGAACTTTAAAGCCGTGCTATTTGGGTTCCCCAGATTGGACATACAGAACAGACTTGGTTGCCCTGTTGCTGTCTTTCTTCTTTCCACTTAAAATAACCTGTACTGGTGTCCATCTTGACAAGTCTGATGTGACAAAAAGCTAAATCTTTTGGTTGTGTTCCTGCAGACCCAGACTCTAAACCTTGTTTTGTTTGCTTTGTTTAAAAAACAAACAAAGCCCTACCAAAAAAATGCAAACAACTTTCAAGCGAGTAACAGTCCCTGTCCTCATGTTTACCTACCAAGGGTAGTTGCTAGTGTTTTAGTTTGTGAACCAGGCTGTTTTCTAGCCAGGTACCTAGGTTTTGATACTTTATACTGTATTGCACTCAAGCCAGTCAAATAAAATTGAAGAAGACTCGCAACCCAAACCGGATTTGTGACAACAGTGAAGTTGTTAAAAATAAATGCTCAAGTGTATAAGTCAGCGTGGACTCAGCCTGGTCTGTTCTATCAGCCTGGTGGATGACTTCAGCAAACTTCAAGACCAGTTTGATAGAAGAGGTCCACTTCTCTACTCCTTACTCATTTCAGTCCCTTTTTTGCCTTTTCTCTTAAACCTGATCTTACAAATGCTTAGGCATGAGTGGACAAAAGAAAATGCTTGTCACCTCAGTGACTCAGTGAGATACAACTTTTCTACCTACTTGTGGGTACCAGGACAGGGTTACACTGTGCTGTTCCTCTTTGCTGTGGAGACAGTGCAAACCCACCCTTTGCATCATTTAAGTACTCGTTTGAAAACTCTCCAAAGGGTTTTCCTAAGCTTAAACTGATGGATGTGTTGCACCTGATGTCTGCCCAGGCTGATTGTGTTTCTGGTGAGCACCACATACACGTGATCCGACATAAGAGAGAGAACACACCGGAGGCAAAGTCTGTGCGTGTGCACCATGTGTGGAGGCGGATGCTGAAGTGAGTGGTTTGACTTTTGAATGTGTGCCTTGTTGGTTTGTTGTCTTCTCTCCATCCCATTGCCTTGCCCACTCTGGGGACAGCTTGACTACCACAGCAGCAGCAGGTTGCAGGAAGCCCAAGCAACCGTGTGATGTGCTGCGCTCTGGGACTGTAGGTGATGTCAGATACAGAGGATGCACTCAGTTTATAGGGATGATGTACAGGTTAGTGTTACTAAAAGGCATTACTGTGTATTTGGGAAGGGAAAATGATGGCATGACCCACTGTGGAGTAATATGATTAGCAAATCAAAAAATCCAGGCTCCAGTTGGGCACCCACTATCCATTGTATCTCGATGGGATTTGGCCAGGTAACCCTCGGGGGCTGTTTCTGATCCTTCTTCCTATGATGGACCATGTCTGTGAGCTGCTGGGTTCCTTTATCTGGTAGTATCTGTTATCTGCTAGTATCATGTCAGCAGATACTGTTCCCTCTACAAGATCAAGGTCTCTGCTGCACCCAGCAGAGTTGTAGACTTGGAATTTTGCTTACATTCCTGCCTTCTGGGCTGTTTTGCAGTGTAAAGAGCTTCTTGAAGCAAAAGTTACGTTTGTTCATGGTTGAGTAGCCACAGGGGAGCACAGAAAATGTCCTAAGTGACTGTCTAGCACTGAATCATGAAAATGGTGTCAAAATCATCCATCACGATGAAATTCCCATCTCTAATCCTGAAAAAAAAAAAAAAAAAAAATTCTTTTTGAGCTTGGAAAGTTTTCATACCTGATGTTTTCACAGAAATTCCTGGCTTTTTGCAACAAAGTGGTAGTTAAATTCTAGCAAGTTTAGAATCTGGTTTTAGGGAGTTTGGGGGATTTAAACCTGTTCCTGGAAAATTTAAACAGGAAAAAAACCCCAGAGGTCATTTTTATTGCTGTATTCCCTCCAGACAAAAAAAAAAAAACAACAAACAAACCAACAAAACTCTGGTCTCCTCCCATCACCCAAGCTTCAATAGTAAACTTCAAAGACAAGCAAAGAAGGAGAATCTGTTGGTGATGTTGTAATAACTCCTCTGTGCTTCAATAAGATTTAGACACTGTTTTTCTACAAATATTGCCCACTTCTTTCAGCTCCATTTATTCACTAAAGCTGCACTGCTTGTAAAAATAAGTCTATAGTGGTACATGGCAAGCATTACAAAAAAGATGGAGCCATCTTTGAACTTTGAAGAAGTTTTGTCTTACTTTGGGAGTGGTTCCTTCCCTCTGCCTCAGCACATTCAGTCCTCTGTGTCCCCTCCTTTTGGACATAGCTGCTTTGTCACAGCTGCTTCAGTGCACTTTGTTCCAGGTTTGTGTCCTGAGCCTCACCTCTCTTTTTACACACCCCAGATTTAAGGGTCTCTCTTGTGTACATGTGCTTCACAAGTACAGAGCAGTAACTAAAACATTTGCTGATAAGGTTATCTGCTGGGAACCAGGTCCTGTCCTAGGATCATAGAATCGTTTTGGTTGGAAAAGGCCTTTTGAGATCATCAAGTGCTGTTAACCCAGCACTGCCAGGTCCCCACTGGCCTATGTCCCTCAGCACCACATCTCCATGGCTTGGAAACCTCTGCAGGGATGAGGACTCCACCACTGCCCTGGGCAGTCTGGCACAGGTCTGGACAACCCTTTCAGTGGATAAGTTTTTCCTATTGTCCAACGTGTGCCCTGGTGCAATTTGAGGCCGTTTCCTCTTGTCCTGTCAAAGACAGGACACCCAAGATGGTAATGTAGCCTCTCTGTGGCAGGTTTTCAGTAGCACGTGCAGGCAGATTGTTTTCTAGTTCCTGTGGGGATCAGCTCAGCTGTAGCAGGCTGCACACCTGACACTGAGGAGTGCTGTGAGGGGTTGGTGCTGGCCTGGTTTTTGAGTTTTAAGGTGTTGGTTCACTAGGTGTCCTTTAAAGTCTTGTGTTCCCCCTTGGGTTTCAGTCATTTGGAAGTTGTTCCCATGTGGAGCTAAGCAAAAATTATCAGTAGGCTCCCAGGTGACCTGGCAGAACACCTCAGTTGCAGAAAACATGCTCCTTTCCCCTTTTTCAGAATGCTAGCATGTCAAAAATTACTTCTCTAGGGTTTTAGATTTTTATAGAACGCAATCATAAAAAAAGCCTTGCACTGTGCAACAGGGAAAAAAAGGAAGGTGAAAATATTTAGGTGTGGCTTAGCAATAACCAGAGATGTTAAAAAAATAAAAATATATTCTTGATGATGATGATAAAATGTCGGTAGCTTTTGATAGCTTGTAAGAACTTTTGGATAAATACTTCATGATCTTTCTATTAAGTCTCAGAAAGCCCCATGAATTCTTGTTGCAAGAACATTTTATTTTTTTAAAGTGTATATATCAAACAAACCTGAGGTGAATTGGAACACTGCGGTTCTTTTCTGCTTGACAATCTCCAGACTCAACATCTTCTCTTTTCTTTTGCAGGCCGTGTATATGTTTTATGCTTTGGCGATTGTCTGTGATGATTTCTTTGTCCCGTCGCTGGAAAAGATTTGTGAAGTAAGTACTAGAAGGTGTTACTTAAGCTTGTGTGCTGCTTCAGCAGCAGTTCTGTAGAGCCTCAGAACGTGATGATGGTGTGTTTACCATTGCCTTGGAGCATTCCCCATGCTTCTCTTTCAGTTGTGTAGCACTGCGTGTGCGTTGGCTCAGCTTCATGTTATCGCTTGCAGGAGATGAGCTGGGAGTCTGCTGGTGGGTAAACTTGGCTGATGCTCCCTCTTAAAGCCAGAAGTTGCCTCTTGAGTAACTATTGCTCTATATGTGTCATAGCACTTCTTAAAAATGGAGGCAGTTTTATAACATAGTGGAAAACATGTTCCATAGAGCAGTGATTGCTAAACTCAGCCCCATTGAGCTGTGGGCTGAGGGCTTGCAGGAGCGCTAGCTGCAGCATGGCTTTCTAGGCAGTAAGGCCCACAGAGCTTGTTAGCTTGTCCTGTGCTCTGCTGCTTGCTGCTGACATGCTCCTGCCCTTGAGGTAGGATCTGGCCATTGGAGACTGCAAGAGGATTGGGATAATGTTTGTTGCCCATGTAGAGAACACCACTTCAGGCATGTCACTCAGTTCTCCTGGGGCTTGGAAGATGTTAACATTTTTTTTTCTTGACTTCTGAAATACTGATCCACAGGGTGTTTCTGAGTTTCATCGACCTTCATCTTAAAACTCAGAAACCACCAAAGCATCAGGCTGCAAAAGAAAAAGTGCTCGAGAGAGTTGAGATGTGTTGGTATTTAAGAAAAAAACAACCACGCAAAAAAAAAAACCCCACTCAGAGGAGGGAGAGATGACACCTGGAGCTGATATGAATTAAAACCTCTCTTGATTTACCCCAGTAGAAATAATGGATCTTGTACCTTGCTTTCAAAGTAATGAGTTTCATACCTTGCGTTGTGTTGGGCTCAGTTGTAAAGCAGCCATGACAGCTAGGTCAGCTGTAAAGAAGCTCTTCAATGCTTTCAGCAATTGCAGGGGACTCTGTCCCTCTTCTGCTAAGGCTGACATGCTGAAATTTTAGAAGACAAGGAGTACATTTTAGCTGAAATCAGCTTGGACAGCTGCAGGGTGAACACAGTCCATGCGCCCAAAGTGCACGTGGAGGGAGCCCCCTCCACTGTCAATCTCAGACAATGAAATCTGTGTGTAGAAAATACGGTTTGTTCTTGCCAGTTAGTTGTCTCTGTCAGCTGGAGGAGATGCCTGCTGATCTGCCTGGCAATAACTATCACTCATCAGTGCACAGGGTGTGCCTGGCCCTGGGAGGAGGTGTGGGAAATGGCAGGAGAAATCATTTGTGCTGACAGCTCTGATGGAAGTCGCTTCTAAACTAATCTGATATTTGTAGTTCAGCACCCTGCCATACAAGCCTTTTGTATCATAAAAAAAAAAAAAAAAGCCCCCAGGAAATACCACTATTTTGGTGCATAAGTATTCAGGTAATTGAAGGGCAACAGCACAGGGCAGGAACTTCTGTCCTGCAAAGGTGATGTACTCTCTAGGGCAGAAGCTAGGGAAAGCCACTGAGGTTCAAGGCTGGTGTGGAGGTGAGGATGGGAGATGCTGGAGGTGTAGACATGCTGAGCTCTTTAACTGCCCATCTCCACCTATCCCAGCAGGCTGGTTATAGAGGTACAAGTATGAGAATTATGGTGCCATTTGTTCTGATAAATTCTTAGATGTGTTTGGGTTTGTACAGACATCTGATGTCTAAAAAGCAAACACCCTCTCAGTCTGACTTTAACAGACTATTTACAAGCCCTTGTGTCCTAGAAGGCTATTTTCACTTGACCAAATCTTTATCTTTTGGTTAGTTGTTGTCTTACCAATGGTACCTAACTACTCCTCTTTTGCTTTAATGTTTCTGAGCTACTGTGTTACCAAACACCACCAATAAAATGCAACCATAATAATCATTTTGATTCAGTTGTGTGTGAAAGAGAAAACTTAGCGATGGAATACTAGGTCTAGCATACTTGAAGTTACTGTCCAGAAGGAAGAAACTGTGTCATTAGAGATTATCAAAATGAATCATATAAACGGATGAAATTTTACATTTCCTATTGTTTCTGTGTAGTTATCTCCCCAAAAAGGTTTTTCTATGATTCTATGAAGAATGGCTGTACATGTAACACACTTAGCATGCAAACAGCCATACATGGTCATGACTAGCTGCTGACCTAAGATCTACCATCAGTAACTCGACTACCTCCTACTGTCCTATCCAGCACAAAAGAATTCAGACCTCCTGCCTGAAGGCTTTTTTGGTCTTGGAGATCAGCCAGTAGTTGTTGTACAGTTGCTTACAGTTTAGATGCCCTAATTCTAAAATAAATGCTCTTTTTCTGACTTAGCTTCATCTAGTTTGGAAAGTGATTGTTGAGCTAAGCCAACGAAGCGTTTGCACTCCCAAATGTGTGTGTTGAGATGGGAATTTCTCAGAGCACTCACAGTATCACAGAATGTCAGGGGTCGGAAGGGACCTCCAGAGATCATCGAGTCCACCCCCCCTGCCAGAGCAGGACCATCTAGTCTAGGGCAGGTCACACAGGACCCCATCCAGACGGGTCTCAAAAGTCTCCAAGGGAGGAGACTCCACAACCTCCCTGGGGAGCCTGTTCAGTGCTCTGGAACCCTGACAGTAAAGAAGTTCTTCCTCTTGTTGAGGTGGAACTTCCTGTGCTCCAGGAAGTTACCACTATGCTATGGTAGACATTCCCATTCTGCCTTAGTTCAGCTGTACTTCCCATAAGCCCCTGATTATCATTTGCTTCCTAAACCAGCTTGTATTTGCATTTGCCCAGCTCCTTTCTGTCAGTGCTGGTACTGTTTCCCTGAGGGAACTAACCTCATACGTCAGTTACAAATGTTTGTTTGCGAATACCAGAGAAGACATTTTTCCCTCCTATGTACTGTGCTGTATTTTCTGCTCTAATGCGTTATCTAAATCATCATATGCATTGCAATAAGTTGTTTAGGAACTGTCCTCCAGGGAACCTTCTATAGCTTTAAATTAAACAATCCCCACAGAAAGTCAATGTAGCTGGTTTCCCTGGCTGGTGGTCATTTCTTTCTAAAGACACCATCGGGTTGCAGACTGACCATTGTAGCATGGCTATCTCTGTGTTTTCATAGAGAATCCTGCAGAATAAACTGGCCTTCGGGGATCTACTTCTGGTCCTGTGAACTTCTCCTACAATGGTTTTAATCCTATGTCAAATAATTTTCCATAAAGCTGTGTTTAATCAGATTCCACAAGCTTCTATAGAAGTGCAGTGATGCCATGGTCTCCTGTTTAAAAAGCATCCCAATAAGGGTACATCTTTTCCTTTTTCCTTGTCCCTGCAACATATGTACAGGTTTTTTTGTTGTGTGTGCTCAGTGGGTAGAGTTTGCCTTCTTGGTGGGAGGATTGCTGCAGTCTCGTCTCTGCAAATGTATGTTGGTAATGATAAAGGCGCAGAGAAACCCGGCACTGCTGCTGCAGGAAGAGGGGAGAGGAAAGCTTCCTCGTCCTGCTGGATTGGGTGTGCTGCTTCAAACAGCCAGTTTTGCTGGGGAAACGTTCCCCCCACCCTCAACCAGCTTCCCCTTGCTCGTACAGCGGCAGCAGCTGGTGACTCACACACGTATGAGCAAGCCAGCTTTGTGTAGTAACAGCTCAGCAGTTCATGGCTGTGTGGTGAGGAGTGGCTTTTTTTGGCTGCTCATTAAATTGTGGAAGGTGCCAGCAAGGCATGTGGTCTTTAACAGCCTTGTCGTGCCTGCCGAAGAGGGACTTGAGCAGGTGGAGCAGTGGGAATTAAGAGAACGTTGAGAAAGCAATTAACCAAGTAAATCTGTGGCAACGGCATATACAAGTGAAGTTTTCATAAAGCACTTGGTCCTCTCCCTTCCAGAAACCCCCATTTTGGGTACTCCCTGGGCACTGCTAGGGGAAGAACGTAGGAGGTATCTTCGGTGGTGATCCAAGCAAAAGGAATTGAGTAGAGTTTAAAAGTCCAAGACTGACATGATACAGGGAAGACAACTGAGAGTAAACCAAGCCTGAGCCCTAGCCCTACCCTTGATGGGCCAAAGTAAATGACCTGTAAGGTGTGTATTGTTGGGATCACAGAGGAGAATCGCTGTGGCTAGTGAGACTGCCTCACTGCTGTGCAGAGAACTGCTCTTTCTCTCCCCTTAAAGGGGCATCACAGACAACCTGCCCTCTCTACAAGGAGATGCCAGCTTAAGTAGTGAAAGCCCCCGATGACTTTTTCCCAGTACTTAAACTTTGTTAACATAAAACTTAGTCCATATCGTCAGATTCCCACTCTTGGCAGGCAGTTTAACATTTCTAGCTGAATTCCTCCAGCCTCCCAGTGTTGTAATCAATGATTCTGATGTGTTTTTCTGCAGCGCTTGCATCTCAGCGAAGACGTGGCTGGGGCAACTTTCATGGCCGCGGGAAGCTCTGCTCCTGAGTTGTTTACATCTGTCATAGGTAACTAACCTGCTGCTGCTTCCTGAAACCTCTGTGTGTCCCTGGCTGTTTTTCAGAGTTGAAATGGGATTGCTGAGTGCCTGTGACTTTCCTTATAATGCCTGGGCCTTCCCTCCTGGGCACACATAGGACTAATTGCAGGGAACCCTCACTAGCTGAAGCAGCTTTGGAGAAGTGATGTTATCCCATATAGGGCTGACTTGGAAGTAGTTTGATCTGACCTCATCACACCAGGGCCATTAGACAGTTAGCCCTTTAGTCTGCCTTGCTGTAGCCCAGCTGAGCTGCACAGCACTGAGCTCCACACAGGCAGCCTCCTCCCTTCCTCTCCTCTCCTCTCCACCCTCCCATGCCCGTCTTCAGGACATGGCTGGAGAGGATACACCTCCAGCCTCTGGGGATAGTACCCGGGCGAACTCCTCGTGTCCTCAGCTGCAGGTTCTCTTCTCTGGTTAGTCTTCTAACACCACTTCCCTCTGGGAAAGACAGGGTGGGGAGGAGAAAAGGATTTGAAGTGCTTCCTCGGAGACACAGGTTGATGAGAGCATCACAAGGGTGAAGCAAATCTCCACTTAAGGGAAGTGTGATTAAGGGATTCAGCAGTCCTTAAGTGTGTGAAACCCAAGAAAATCTTGTGGTCCTTCAACAGCCTGGTGCTAAAAGGGGACTGCAGTCAGCTCTTCCAAAATGAGTCTGTACGTATGTTACCTGGCACAAGGGGAAAGTGTTCTTCTGGCAGTTTTACTCATCCACACCTCTATTGGTAAATGATCACTAAAGCAGCAGTTGGGAGGTTCAGGTGGGCTCTTCACTGCTGAGAATTATTGTCAGCTTGGATACTTTCTCTACAAGACAACTTCTGTTTGAGTCACAGCTATCAGATGCAGAATTAATTCACTGCATGCTCTGCAGGAAGATCTGATTACACAAACAAAGCCTTAAGATGTAGGAACTTAAATTGGACCAAGTTGGAGTTCTATTCTGGTTAAGGGTAGTGGAGTAGTGGGGAGAAAAAAAAACCCAGGTTCCTTCAGGCAGCTTAGAGAAGCCCTATGGTCAGATCGTTATCTTGTTGTGGTATAGTCCACCAGATACGGAGTGTCGCTTGGTGGGTGACTGGTTCTGTGCAACATATTTCTAACAAAAGGATAAAGTGGAACAGAAAGAGTCTAAACTATGCTAGCTGGATAAATGCGAGTCATGAATTTAAACAGACTGACAGTGAGTGGGAGATGGAGTGTTATTTTTAGGCTGACTTCTTAAGGAACAAATTTTGTGCAGTGCCATGACGCATGTGTCTGTCAGTTTGTCTCCCTCAGCGTTAACCCCACTGGCCAGTTTTAACCAAATTTGACAGAAGAGCTTTGAAAGAAGCATGTAACATAGCCCCATAACTCATCCTAAGAGGCCTCGTTCTGCTGGCAAGTAGCTAGTGGCCAGGCCAGCTCCAGCTTCCACTTGGCTATTGAGGCCGGTAGGGATGGGGATATGGGCAAGAGCAGAGTACAGATGAGGGAATGTCTTGTGGGAAATATTTCCTGCAGATTTGTGTCTGACTAGCTGCCCCCACAGAGCTTACTGACTTTTATGATGTGTATTGCCATGATGTTGGTTTGCAACACCATGAGGCTGGTGACAAATCTGTCTAAGGTATTTGGCTTTCATAAGACAATCTATCCAGGTCCCCTCAGAGAGCAAGTTCTGCCACCTTTGTTCACCTTCATACCTTTTTCTGCAAATTGCCCTGTTAAGTAGGAGGAAAAGTGGCAGAACTGGTCCATGCCTGTAGATTCATTAAAGGGGTGTGAGAGCTGCAATTTTTTTTGTGGAAAAATTCTTCTCTTTCCAATTTACACAGCTTGCCTTGAACTTGTTTTTCAGGTGTTTTTATCACAAAAGGAGACGTAGGCGTTGGAACCATCGTAGGCTCGGCTGTGTTTAACATTCTCTGTATTATTGGCGTGTGTGGGCTTTTTGCTGGACAGGTAAGAGCATTTAATGATTCCTAACAGTTCTTGCTTCATCCTGTGCCTTGGTTGTACTGTGAAATCAGCTGCCGGGTTCACAACCTTGCCGCACATTTCTCTGGCTTTGTTCATTTTAATAGGGCCCTACGCTGCTCCTCTTGCATTTTCAAAATGAAAAGCAGAACAGCAAATGTCAGCTCAGGTGTTTTAAGCTGCCCAAGATATGTGGGTGGTCAAAGGAGTAAAAGTTGGTTATTTAACACCTCCTCTTTGTAGCTATTGAAAAGTGTATCGGGACACTTTTATCTGGTTCTTTTAGACTAAAGAAGCCAGGAAATGTCTGTGCCTCTGGCTAGTAAAAATGTGCTTCAGTGAGCCATGCAGGCTGCCTCTGAAAGAATGATGACACTTCCAGAGCATCAAAAAATGATGCTGCCTTTGTGCAAGATAGTTTCAGATATGTGTGCTGAGCTGGCACAACATTGGTGGTGACTGGTATGACTTATGAAATTGTATGAGAAAGGTACAGGATTGGCTTATGATTTATTTCATTATTTATATCCAGAATCACAGGATGGCTTGTGTCAGAGGGGGGACCTCTGGAGGTCTCTGGTCCAAAGCCCTCACCACCCCTCAAAGTAGGGCAGATTTCAAAGTTGGATCAGGTTGCTCTGGGCCTTGACCAGTCAGCTTTTGAATACTTTAAAGGATGCCTCAGTGTTTTTTTTTTTTTTTTTCAGTATCAGTAAAGGCTTTTAATTTCTAGCATAAACTCTGACTGTTTTCCAGCATGTCAAACTGCTTATGATAACACAAGCTATTCATCTGAAATTAAAGTAATTAAGTTGTGAGATTTGAGCTGCTGTCTGAATTGCAGACGTGATTGACTGCATAATTAAATATCTGAATCTGCATTCACCTTAACACTTGCCAACATGCCCCATGTTTTTACAGTCTCATAAAATGTTTTTTGGATGTTACTGTGCAAACTTATTTGTAAAGAGGAGAAGTAGGGTAACGTTATCAATAACTAGCTCCAGAAGAACTACTTAAGAGAAGGGGCTTGTATAGCTTGGTCTGCATGAGGAAGCATGCAGAGAGGTTGGACTTTCCTGGGAAAGTTTGCAATCAAATATTGTTTGCATTAGCAATGAACTTTTTCAGGATGAAGGTGAATATTTTCACTATGGGGAGGCTTCAGGAGGAGCCCTCAGTGCTACTTTTTAGGTACCCAAGCTCCCATGTTTGCATGGGAACGCGCAGCTGGCAGCTACACACACTCAGTACGTTAGTGGTTCTGCTGTAACTCTTACTAGGAAAACCTGGTTGATCTAGGCCAATTTTTAACAGCCAAAGCTTTCCCAGGGCACGAAGCTGTGTTCCCCAGAGGTGTTCTCTTGTAATCAGTGGGACTTCTTGCTCAGGTTGCTTTTTTCAAGCAAATGAAAATGATTAACTGTTTAGCACGATCACAGAGGAGCTAACTCCTGTTTTTTATTCTCCATGGTATTGATTGCATGCCTCAAAGCTGCTAAAAAAACTAGTTACAGATCACAGCTTTCAGAGGAAAAGGCTTAATAGAGTTTGGGGGCTGATGGCAAATATCAGTCTTTTTGAGAGACCATGTACAGGTGGGAGGGGTTTGTTTCTGAAGGATTATAACACAGCCAAAATGCTCAAATAAATGCCTGCAGCCTTCTAGGCATGGTACCCTTCCAAAGTTCAGTGGAGGGATTGGCTGCTCTAAGTCATCCTAAGTGTGGTCTGCAAGACCTCTTCAAGCCAAAAATTGAGATTTCAGCTGATTTGTCCAAACTTTGGCTTCCATGACTTTGCTACTGCTTTGAGTACAGTTTCATGAAGTCACTTAATCTATATTTACTGCAGTTTAACCCACAGAGCGTGGGTGAGACCTGGAGTGATTGATGTCACTACGTGGAATCATAAACGAGGAAATAAGAAACCTCAGTTTAAATGATTCCAATATTGTAGATAAAACCTCTGTGTTGGTTTGTGCTTGTGTTTGATTTTTTCCTACTCAAAAGCCTTCACCAAAAAGTCGTTCACTTCTACTGGTGTGATTCATCTCTTTGTTTTGCATTAGTCTTAATAGGAATTCGATTTTATTTTCAGTACTGTCTCTATAGATGCACTAACATAGATGCTAAATTTGGTTGGCAGCTGGGTTTCTGTTCTGCTGGGTCCTGGATCTCAAGTGTTGAGTTGCCATGTGGTGGGCCAGGTGAGCCTGGAAGCAGGCTGTCGGTCTGCGCTGCCTGCAGAGCTCCGGCCTGGTTAGAGCAGGGTTTTCTCTTTGACATCAGACCTGTGGAGTCAGCAGCTGGAGTCCTCTGGCTTTCAGATGAGACCAGCGAGTTGGTGGGCAGGAATTTACCAGCCAAACTTCGCAGCTGCTCAGGACACAGATGTATTTTCTAGGACTTCTGCCCTGGAAAGCGATATTCTGGCATCTTGGTTCAAGTCTGAAAGGCCTTTGGGTTTGTCAGTTTACCTGTTAATGAGGGCACTTTTCAGCTGCAGATGTGGTATAGAATCATAGACTGTTCTGGGTTGGAAAGGACCTTTCAAGGTCATCCAGTCCAGCCCCCCTGCAGGGAGCAGGGACATCTGCAACTGGAGCAGGTTGCAGACGCAACTGCAGAGCCCCAGCCAACCTAACCTGGGATGGTTCCAGGGATGGGGCAGTGACCACCTCTCTGGGCAGCCTGGGCCTGAGTCTCACTATCCTCAGTGTAAAAAAATGTCTTCCCTATATCTAGTCTAAATCTTCCTTCTTTTAGTTTAAGACCATCACCCCTTGTCCTGTGGCAACAGGCCCTGCTAAAAAGCCTGTCCCCATCTTTCTGATAGACCACTTTAAGCACTGAAAGGCTGCAGTGAGGTCTCCCTGGACCCTTCTCTTCTCCAGGCTGAACAACCCCAATTCTTTCAGCCTGTCCTCTCAGCAGAGGGGTTCCAACCCTCGGATCATTTTTGTGGCACCCTCTGGACCCATTCCATGTCCTTGTACCGAGAACCCCAGAGCTGGACATGGAACTGCAGATGAGGTCTCACCATTGCAGAGTAGAGTGGCAGAATTGGTGGTGGCATGTTTGGATCCCACCAGCTGGTCTCTGCCCATCTGCTATGTGGATCGTGGGTTCCTTGAAGATACCAGCAGTCCAGGAGGTGGATGGAGAGTGGCACAAGCAGTAGTGTTAGGTAAGCAATAGCTCTGTGGCAGGGCTGCTTTGTCTTCTCCCAGGGTGCTCAGCTTGGAGTTGGGTGAGAAAAAGTCTCTGTGCTGGAGATGGTGAGGCAGCTGCCTGGTGGCAGAGGACTTGGGAGCAATGCATTGCCCACAGACTGGGAAACCCAAAAGTAGAACCTGCAGGGGACTGCTGCAGCACTTCCATAAACACTTCATTATTGCAGAACTGGGCGGTATCAAGTGAAAAGCTTTTTTTCCTTTTTTTTTTTTTTTTTTTTTTTTTTTTTTTTTTTTTTTTTTTTTTTTTTTGTTGGTTTTGTTTGTTTGGTTTGAGTTTTTTTGACTGGTAAAGGTTGAACTAAAAAATACTGATCGTTTCTCTCTCCTGGATATATTTTATTTTTAAATTAGATTCTAGTATATATGTGCTGTATTGGATGTATTATTCTTTGGCTTAAAAAAATAATGAGTTTGGCCACGTGCAGCATCTATAAAAAAAAGAAACAAACACACAACCCCAAAAAGCCAGTATGCATTTACTTGAAGACCAACTCTAATTGGATATTTTTCTAAGCCTTTAACGGCTGTAAGTGCACACTTCTCAGAATAAATTAGAATAGACATCCCACTGCTGGAACTGGAGAAGGAAAGTATGATGCCCACACCTCTATCTGACACTGCACACCGAAAAACTATATTACAAGAGCTTTGTTAAGGTTGAAAGTCAAACACTGAAAAGTTAGGAAATGGCAGTGTTAAGGTTCCTTGTGCAACCTTAATTTGCCCCCCTGGTGGGCATGCATTATTATACAGTCTTTAATTACAGGGTCCCATGCTGGTTTCTCCACGGGGTCCCTGCCTCCCTCAGTGCACAGAATGGACTTTGCTCACTTAATGAGCAGCTATTCATTGTTTTGTTTTCTCTTCATTGTTCAGTGTGTGCCCTTCTGCCTTATTTACCAGACTCTATTCAAGCCCTGTTCCAGAGGCAGAATTATTAATTTCCTCTTGAACTTCTACCGATCTCATCACTATTTTATCTGAGCAGTTGATGAACGATTAATTAATATTCCCCAAACCTCTGTGAAATGAAGGGATGTTTTAAAGATGGGGAAACAAAGCATAGAGAGATAAAATTCAAAAGAATAACTTGTCATTTTAGGGGCCAATTAGAGCTGGCACGGGCCCATTTTTTCCCCTTGAATGCATAGCATCCTGTGCCATGTTCTTTTTTGGGAAGGAGCTGCTCTCCGGTTCCAGATGCTGCTCCCATTGCTTCTGCTGCTCCCTCCGTGCTGCACAAGGGCTTCCTTGCTGGGCTGACCCTGGTTTAAGTGGCCATCTCAGTGTCCATACAGCCCAGCTCTCCTTGGGAGCATTCAGCTGCTTTAGCCATCTGAGCCCCTTTTTCTTCTCCTAGCTCCCAGCTCCTGTTCCACCTTCTGCAGGCACACACACAAAACATCTCTCGTCATGAACCCTGGCTTCATCCCTAGGATCATTCTTGACCTGAATTGAGCAAGTGGTGCAACTACTTCATCTCCTACCATTTACTTCTTGCTTTTGCTAACATGGTAATGTTCCTTCTAAGCAACCAGATGCTTCAGGTTTCTTTCCATTACTTCTGATTCCCAACCCCTCCCCATTTCTTGAGGCCTAAAAGAAAAACTTTCTTCAGGCGAATTTTGCCCCTGGATCATGGATCCAGCCCATAGCTGTCTTTCAGGTGTCAAAAGCACAGCAGGTCTCAGGCTACACTGCATCTACAGTGAGCCACTCACTCCAAGAAGGACCTTGAGCTGCTGGA